GGGGTTCTGACTTTGCTGAGGTTTTCCTGGCTCCCACGTGTAGCAGGTTGTTTCTGGGCCACACAGGAAATACAGATGTGCCTTACCAATTCTCCAAGAGTTTCTGTTTTTATTCTTAGCCCCTGGAGCCTGGGCCAGTACAGGTGCTTGTTTGCCTCCCCCTATGCGACAGGTGCATTTCTGCAGCGCCCTGCTGAGGGCGTAGCCATGGGAGGGTCCCAACTGTGCAGAAATGTCTTGGGACAAACTCTGCCCGTTACTCCAGCCCAGGCCCTGTCTACTGCTCCCTGCGGGAACCTCGGACACAAAGGTCTCACATCAGCAAGTGGCCTCCTCCCTCTCCCTTCCTTCTTATTCTCCTTATGATTTTTCTCGTTCATGTTTATGTTTTTCTTCCAAGAGATTTCTCTTATTACCTCGCATGCTCATCTGTTCAACCATGCACTCAAAGAACGGTACATATTTTTTCAGCTTTTTAGTACGGCAAAGATCAAACACGTGAAAGCACAGTGCACCCCTGCACACCCACAGCTCAGCAAGCCGCCGGTCTTGTTTCTTTGAACTTATGCACTCTCCACCCGATTACCTTGAAGTCAAACCCAGACCCAAGTCACACCATCTATATGTCTCATTGCATGTCACTGAAAGATAAGGATTCCCCTTCATAACCATAACCACGACACTGTCATCACACCAAAAAAAAAAAAAAAGTAAAGGCTCTTAACATCATCAGATACACAGTCAGTGTTCGAAGTTCCCCAATTGTCACATACACATATATTTACAAGGATACTTCAGAAAGTTCATGGAAAAACAATTAAAAGACAATACGAGTCTTGCCGTGAACGTTCTGAAGGCCCCGGATACACACACGCGCGTGAGGCTCATGCTTTGTGCCCGTCACTGCCTCTGAAGTCTCCTTTACAGCCCCTCCGCCTTTTTTCTGTCCTTGCGGTGCATTTGTTGAAGAGCTGAGGTCATGTTCCTGTAGAATGTCCTGCAGGCTGGACTTCACTGGCGGCTGCCTGTGTCCTGGGTCTCTCCTCCAAAGTGTAAATCGACTTGCTCTATACATGCTTGACCCCACTCAGCACAAGTTTTCAACGAGACACTAACAGGGACTTCGCGTCCGTCCACGGAGGGCTGTGCGATGTCTGCTTGTTTGTGACACTCGTGGGCGTGGATTCTCCGTGCTGGATCCGTTCAGTTGTCAGCATTGCAGGACAGCGGTCTTCTGTCCCTTTTCGTCCATCTAACCAGCAGCTGTTCCTCTAAACAGAAACTTCCCCTCGTCTGCAATGTGGTCCCCCCACGGGTGCGGTTTGTTTTAGGATGAATGCTGGAGTTTTTCTCTTTTCAAAATGTTGAGTTTTTTTTCCTGGTGTCCTCCAAAGGTGATCATTGTTGAGGTCGTTACAGCTGTATTATTTGGTGGTTCCAGAACATTCCAATTGTTACCCTTATTGACACTGAAGTTGTCCCATCTTTGGTCAGTGGGGGCCGTAGTTGGCTTCAGGGTCCCGTCTACAGCCCTGGTGGCTCAGCTAGCTTCCTTCCTTCTGCAGCGACCACAGGAGCACCTTGGATGCTTCCTGCTCTAGACCTCAAATCAGCCATTTCTCCAGGAACCCGCAGGCCTTCCAAGGGCCAATAATATTTAAAGACCACAGTCTGGAGGCCAGATCTGTTTCACTTTTTTTTTCTTTTTTTTTTAATTTTTATTTTGTCAATATACAATGTATATGATTATTATGGCCCATCACCGACACCAGATCTGTTTCACTTTTAAAAATCTTTTTATTGGGGCCGGCCCGGTGGCGCACTGGATAGTGCGCCGCTTGGGAAGCGCGGCGGCGCTCCCGCCCGAGGGTTCGGATCCCACATACAGACCGGTTCCCGCTCACTGGCTGAGCGAGGCGCGGGAGCAACACCGAGGCTTGCGATCCCGTTGCCGGTCCCCGGTCCGGTACGGGGGCAACGCTGAGGGTTGCGATCCGTTGCCGGACACGGAAAAAAGACAAAAAAAAAAAATCTTTTTATTGTGGTAAAATATGCATAATAGAATTTACTGTCTTAATTATCTGTAACTGTACCATTCAGTGGTATCAAATACATTCGTAATGTGTGTGCGACCGTCACCACCATCCGTCTCCTGGTCTGCTTCTTTAAGAGTGAGTGGTCATTGCTTCTAGGGCTTTCCAGTGAGCTGAACATAGAAATCTTTTTTGTTTTAAGATTAAAACAGATCATGAGTTCATAGGCTTCCAATCCAGATTCAAGATAGGATTTTGGTAGTTCCATTGACCTGATATCCAAATCTTCTTTCCCCTGCACCAAAAAGCCCAGTTTTCAGTGACACAGCCGTGGTTACTTTTTTGTCTAGTCCCACATCTCAGACAGCAGGCCTAGAATGACAGTCACCACCCTGCCAGCCACAGCACCATCACTCCAGACAGCGTCTCGTGTAGTTTCTGCAGCTGTTTTGTCCTGAGTACGTCCCACTAGGGATTTTATTTATTTATTTTAATTTTATTTTACTTTGTTAATATACAATGTGGTTGATTATTGTGGCCCATTACCGAAGCCACCCTCCTCCTCCCTCTCCCCCCTCCCTCCCAACACTGTCCTTTCCGTTTGCTTGTCGTGTCAACTTCAAGGAATTGTGATTATTGTGTCTTCTTCCCTCCCCCCCCAGCTTGTTTGTGTATTTATTTATTTATTTTTAGCTCCCACCAATAAGTGAGAACATGTGGTATTTCTCTTTCTGTGCCTGACTCGTTTCACTTAATATAATTCTCTCAAGGTCCATCCATGTTGTTGCAAATGGCAGTATTTCATTCGTTTTTATAGCTGAGTAGTATTCCATTGTGTAGATATACCACATTTTCCGTATCCACTCATCCGATGATGGACATTTGGGTTGATTCCAGCTCTTGGCTATTGTGAAGAGTGCTGCAATGAACATTGGGAAACAGGTATACCTTCGACTTGATGTTTTCCATTCCTTTGGGTATATTCCCAGTAGTGGGATAGCTGGATCGTATGGTAGCTCTATCTTCAGCTGTTTGAGGAACCTCCAAACCATTTTCCATAGGGGTTGCACCATTTTGCATTCCCACCAACAATGTATGAGAGTTCCTTTTTCTCCACAACTTCGCCAGCATTTATCGTTCAAAGTCTTTTGGATTTTAGCCATCCTCACTGGGGTGAGATGGTATCTCAGTGTGGTTTTGATTTGCATTTCCCGGATGCTGAGTGATGTTGAGCATTTTTTCATATGACTGTTGGCCTTTTGTATATCTTCTTTAGAGAAATGCCTGCTTAGCTCTTTTGCCCATTTTTTGATTGGGTTGCTTGTTTTTTTCTTGTAAAGTTGTTTGAGTTCTTTATATATTCTGGATATTAGTCCTTTGTTGGATGTGTATTTTGCAAATATTTTCTCCCACTCTGTTTGTTGTCTTTTAGCTCTGTTAATTGTTTCTTTTGCTGTGCAGAAGCTTTTTAGTTTGATATAGTCCCATTTGTTTATTTTTCCTTTGGTTGCCCGTGCTTTTGGGGTTGTATTCATGAAGTCTGTGTCCAGCCCTATTTGCTGAAGTGTTTCTCCTATGTTTTCTTTAATAAGTTTTATTGTTTCAGAGTGTATATTTAAATCTTTAATCCATTTTGAGTTGATTTTAGTATATGGTGAGAGGTATGGGTCTAGTTTCATTCTCCTGCATATGGATATCCAGTTCTCCCAGCACCATTTGCTGAAGAGGCAGTCTCTTCCCCAGTGTATAGGCTTGGTGCCTTTGTCAAAGATCAGATGGCTGTAGGCGTGTGGGTTGATTTCTGGATTTTCTATTCTACTCCATTGATCAGTGTGTCTGTTTTTATGCCAGTACCATGCTGTTTTGGTTATTATAGCTTTGTAGTATAGTTTAAAGTCAGGGTGTTATGCCTCCAGCTTTATTTTTTTGCTCAGAATTGCTTTGGCTATGCGTGGTCTTTTGTTATTTCATATAAATGTCTGGATAGTTTCCACTGGGGGTTTTAAAGTCATCTGGAATAATTCCACTCCAGGGTTATGCCACCCTCTCATACCCAGTTTGGGGTTTTTGTTTCATTTTACTTTTGATTCCTAGGAATTGTTTTACTTATTTATTTATTTATTTATGCCACCCTCTCATACCCAGTTTGGGGTTTTTGTTTCATTTTACTTTTGATTCCTAGGAATTGCTTTACTTATTTATTTATTTATTTATTTATTTATTTTTGTAATTATATAAATACAATATTTACCTGGTTCCAAAGTTAGAACTACAAAATGGCATAGATAAAGAAGTCTTGTGTCTCTCTCAGACCCCTGCACCCCAACAGAGGCTCAGCCCTGTGTCCTCGCTGTCCTGCAGCCGTCTCTTCCAACTTCTCAATGTAGCCTGGAGACCCCTTGGAGCAGTACAGGGACCCACCTCATTCCTTCTGAGCTGCCCTCTCTCAGACCCCTGCACCCCAACAGAGGCTCAGCCCTGTGTCCTCGCTGTCCTGCAGCCGGCTCTTCCAACTTCTCAATGTAGCCTGGAGACCCCTTGGAGCAGTACAGGGACCCACCTCATTCCTTCTGAGCTGCCCGGTTTCCTATTGTGCACAAGCCTGCATTCAACTAGTCCTCTGTGATTTGGGGAAGACTTCAAGCCTTTTGCTATTACAAATGGCTATCTTTTTTTTTTTTTTTTAGAGACTTATGAGTATTTTATCTCACATTTCTAAGTGTTTTAGAGTCGAAATATTTTGGGTTTTTTGTTGGTGGTGCTGGCAGTGGTTGTGGTGTTTCTTTAATTAAATGAAGTCCTCCCTATGGCCAGATATGGGATATTTATTCTTTCTTTCATTAATTGAAAAAAAAAAGATGCATTAACCTTTCTAAGTGTGCTGTGCCTTCCTGGGCTCTGTCCTAGGCAGTGGTGCCTATTCTGTGCTGGGTGCTATCCTGGGAAGATGCCTGCCCTTAGGAGCCAGCATTGAAGCCCGAACTGCAGAGTCAAGTGACAGGCAGCAATGAGTGTTCCACAGGGCCATGGGGTACTGGGGTCCTGGAGCAGGGAGTTCTTGTAGGAGGAGCTGACCTACCAAAGGGTGGGGTGACTCCTGGACATGGGCAAAGGCCCAACGAGGATGGAGGACGCATCCTGGGGAGGCGGTCGCTGAGGGACCAGGCACGTCCCCTGGCTCCACTCCCCCCACAAGCCTCTCCCCATGCCGGCTCTCCTCCTGGAGCGCCTGTCCTCCCCACTCTCCCTTCTTGCCCTCCCAGGGTCTGACACAGGCCTCCTAGGGGTCAGTGCTGCTGGGTCAGGACTCGGCAGGGCCTGAGGGCTTGGCAGGGCCAGGTGGCCTGACTCCTGACACTGCATTTCAGGAATCCTGTATGGCACCATGACCATGGAGCTGGGCGGGAAAGTGACCATCAAGTGTGAGAAGAACAACTTCCAAGCCGAGCTGGAATTCAAGCTCAGGGTAGCACTGGCTGCAGCCTGGGGAGCAGGGCGGGGGGCAGGGGGACATGGAACTCCAGCCAGGAGGGAGCAAGGCCTTGGGGATCCCCTCCACCCTCCTGTGCCCAGGGAAGGTTTCCCAAGCAAGTGCACAGGAGGTGAGCAGCTCTTTGCATCTCCACAGTATACACGGGGCCCAGAGAGGGGAAGGGGCTGCCTGCAAGTCACACAGCAGAACCAGGACAGGCTCAGGCAGGGACCCTGCATCCTTGAGCTCAGGCAGAGGCATCGGGACAAGGGTGGCCTCCTCTAGCATTGGGTCCCCTCCCAGCTGGCTCCTGGGCACCCTGTGAGAGTGACCGCTCCGTGTCCCAGGAGGATGTGCCCCTAGAGTGGCTTCCTCCTCCCCCACTCACTGGGCATCCATCCCTGGCTGTTCCTGCAGCCTTTCTTTGGGGGCAGCACAAGCATCAATCAGATCTCAGGAAAGATTGCATCTGGAGGGGAAGTCCTGGCAACTCTCACTGGACACTGGGTAAGGGGCTGTCCTTGGGGCAAGCGTGGTCGGGCCAGCCAGGCCCTGGGCAGTCAGTGCCTGGGCCAGCATCTCTGACCCCACCCAACCATCTGGGGCAGGACAGTGACGTGTTTATCAAGGAGGAGGGGAGTGGAAGCGCCGAGCTCTTCTGGACCCCGAGTGGAGAGGTCCGCGGGCAGAGGCTGAAACAGCACACGGTGCGGTTTGAGGAGCAGACAGAGCTGGAGTCCGAGAGGTGAGGCCCATCTGGCACCCAGGGGACCCCGCTGACCTGATGGGGCCAGGCAGGCAGGTTGGCAGGGTTACAGTGTTGTGAGCACATCCCCAGGAAAGAGAGTAGACCTCAGAATGGACCCCTCATGGCAGATCACGTTATCCTGCTGGGGCAGCTGGAGGCAGAGTGTGAGGATTGGAGAATAGTGGGCTCCGGGATCCCTGTCACAGCTGGCAGGTGCCCGACAGCTCCACAGGGAGGGCCCTGCGGGTGGGAGGCAGGAGCTCAGCATAGGGGAGAACCATCTCATGGGGAAAACACAGCACCCTGGGAGACACAGGCTCCCTTTCAGGTAGTGAGCTCCCTGTCACTGGAGGCAGCCAAGCAGAGGCTGCTCTGAGCTTCCCTCCAGTGCTCAGGGGGCAGGACTGCCTGGGCCCCCCGCTCAGGGCAGGTCCCCTGTACACAGGCTCTGGCAGCACGTTACCAGGGCCATTGGCGAGGGCGACCAGCACAAGGCCACACAGGAGAAGTTTGCACTGGAGGAGGCGCAGCGGCAGCGGGCCCAGAAGCGCCAGCAGAGCCTCACGCCCTGGGAGCCGCAGCTGTTCCGCCTGGACCCTGTCACCCAGGAGTGGCACTATCAATATGAGAAGTGAGCGCAGGCAGCAGCGGCCTGGGGCTTGTGCTGCGGGCTGGCCCTAGCAGACTGCCCCCACCCGTGCCCAGGCCTGGGCCCTAGTGGGGTCATAGGGGCTCCTGGCTCCCTCCCCACCTCAGCTCATCTCCTGGAAGAGTGAGTGATGAGGGGGAAGGTCAGATAGGGCCCCCCACCCCCCTGTGGGCCCTGCACGTGGGGTGTGGGCAGTGGTCACTTTCCTGGGGGTCTGACCACTTGTTGGGAGGCTGAGGGCTAGGCTGAGACAGAGCACTCCATCTTGAGAGCCACTGCCTCTGCCAACAAGCACCCTCTGGATCCTCCAGCCACAGCCCCTGGGACCCCATGAAGGACATCACCCAGTTTGAGCAAGATGGGATCCTGCACACGCTGCAGCGGGAGACTATGGCCTGCCAAACCACCCTCCTGGGCAGCCCGGGGCCCAGGCATGAGGTCAGCACCCCCCAGGGCCCTGGCCAGGGTTGTTCTCAGCTGCAGGTGTGGCCACCCACCCCCTCGTTGCCCTCCTCCTCCTGTGCTCCCAGGTCTGTCATGCTCTTGCCAGCCCCTCAGCCCCTGCCCTGCGTGGGACCCAAGATGCCTGGATTTCCAAGATGCTCCATGCACGGGCACCCTGATGTGCGGGGCAGTGCAGGATCTGCTGGCTCCTGGCCCATCGCCACCCCCAATATCGCCCCTGCCATGTTAGTAGACCCATTATCCCATTCTACAGATGAGGAAAGTGAGGCTTGGGGCAGCCCAGGGACTTGCCCAAGTAGGAAGAGGAGGAGCCAGCATTTTCACAGGTCTTGGGCCTGCAATGGGCAGGAGGGAAGGCAGAGAGGCTCCAGGGAGGAGGAAGGAGAGAAACACCCCTGGACAAGATGCGGTTTTGGAGGAAGCCAGGTGTCCTCCATGGTGCCATGCCAGAGGCAGCCACCAGGTGGCGCCCGACCCACACTCCCGTGTTCCAGGTGTGCTGACCAACACCTGCGGCGCACCAGCTGGGCGCCTACTGTGTGCAGATCTGGTGAGGCTGGCGCTCACGCTGCAATCAACCCTTATGGCACCGGGTCAGAACAATCCATGGCCTTCAGTGTCATCATCTCTGCATTATTGGTCACAATTCTGTGACAGGCACAGGGCTGGCCAGTCTGCACCAGGACACTGGCCCTTACCCCCTGCAGAGGGGTCAGCAGCTCTATGTTACCAGTGAGGAGACTGAGGCCCACAAAGGGGTCCTGACATTCCAGCCTGTGCAGGGCTGAGATCCAAACAGCCTCTGTCCAACCACACCACACCAGCTTCCTTCTCTGCCTGCTGCCGCGTCTAGCGCCACGCTGGCATAAACATGCCACTGTATCCCCAAGGTGCCTGTGCAGGTGGGTGTGGGTGGGCTCCCTACTGTAGCAGCTCCATCTCTCCACAGAGGCCTGGCCCAGACCAGTGTCTCCGCAAATCCAGTGACCAGCCCTCCAGCCACAGCCAGGTCACTGAGAGCAGTGGCTCCACACCTGAGTCCTGCCCGGAGCTCTCAGACGAGGACGAGGATGGTGACTTTGTTCCTGGTGAGGCCCCCTTGGACCTGGCCCCCGAGGCCTTGTCTGGTGGGTTCCAGGGACCCTGGCCAGGCCAGGAGGGGAGGGCATGCCCCCGCCTCCAGCCCCTGCAGGATGGGAAGGGTCTAAGAGACACCTTCCCAGGGTGCTGGGAAGGGAGTGCCTCTACCTGTCCTGACAGTCCTCCCAAGGGGCTCTGCCCTCCCAGTGACTCGGGGGCAACCCAGAGGGGCGTGGTGGAGGCTGGGGGAGGAAGAGGGAGTGGGCCCAGGCCAGGGGCCCCCTTGTCTGACAGGGGTGGTGTGAGCGGCAGGCCGGGCAGTGTCCACCTGCCCCCACCCCTCTGGCCCTGCTCCTGCCACCCTGGGTCTCTCTGCTCCTTTGTTCTCATGGGGCAGCCTGGGTCTCCCCGACTTTATCCCTGTCTCTGTGGTGGACAAGCCACACCTTGGTCTCTGCCACCTCCCAGAGCTCATTAGAGGCCAGCTGAGACTGGGGATTCCCTCCAGAAACATCCCTCAGTGCCTCTCCCTCGTGTCCCTGTCTTTAGCCTGGTCCCACAGGTTTCCTGTAAGGCTGGGCAGGGGCCTGAGCAGGGTGTGACCCCACAGCCGGCCCCCTGACTTACCAGCTCATTCTTGCTTCTCCCCCCTCGCATGTCGCCCCATCCCCGGGACCATCCCAGGCAGCGAGAGCCCATGTCCCCGGTGCAGGAAGGAGGTGCAGCGGCTGCTGGCTGTGCACGAGGCCATCCTGTCCATCCAGGAGGCGCAGCAGGAGCTCCGCAGGTAGGCCGCGCCCCGACCTTCCCCCTCTGGGTCTCCCAGGCGGGCTCCCTCTCAGAGAGTGCAGGAGGCCAGGGCAGGCCGGGGGAGGCCAGGGAAGCCCTGCACCTGGGATGTCCTTTGGAGATAGATCTGCTGTCCTGGGAAGGGTCTGCAGCAGGGCGGGGACAGGCAGAAAGCTGCCTGGGATCCCTTGGGCAGCAGCTGAGGTGTGGGGGCGGTGGGCCGCGCAGGGAGTTGCGTTTGAACAGGCTGAGCCAGGATGCTGAGCCGGAAGTTTCAAGGAGCCAAGAGGAAGGTGCTGGGCCTGGGCATGGGCTTGGGGGTGGCCCCAGGAGAAACGCCAAGGTGCATGGAGCCAGGTGGCAGCTCAGAGAGGAGATGGCGCAAATGTCCTGGCTGTCACCAGGCTCACTGCAGTGACCCAGTTCGAGGTGGCGTAGGTCTTTAGAATGCTGGAGAGGGAGGAGCAGGGAATGCCTGAGGGACATGCTGTGACCCGGATGGGTGGAGCGCCAGGGCCTCCTGGTCCCTTCCCGTCAGCAGACACTACAGAGGAGGAGCAGGATGTGGTGTGCAGCTCAGGTTCCAAAGCCTAGGCTCTGGCTCTGCCCAGGCCGTGGTACCCACTGGCTGTGTGGCCTTGGGGTGTCAGGCCTCCCTCTCCCCTCTGTAAACAGGAAGATGGCAGTGCCCCAGGGCAGGACCAGGGTGGTGCAGAGGGCTGAGCTCCTTGCCAGGCACTCATCCAGCATCCGGCAGATGTTACAGTCTCTGGGACTGTCACACCGGGAGTGGACTCGGGAGGACAGCACACCAAGGATGGGGCATGGAGGAGGACAGAACAGCAGGGATGGACAGGGGGAGAGGGCCGCGTGCAAGGGTGGGACACAGGTGCAGCCGGCAGCACGCAGGTCATGAATGAGGCCTGTGTGATCAGCGCCCGCCCTCCCCTGTGACTCAGCAGTGGAGCCACCACACCTTTCACCAAAACCTGCTATTCTGGGAAGCTGTTTTCCTAAAGAAATTGAGATCTCTGGCTCCACAAAAGGAGGCAGTTGGCCAAATGGCCAGTCAGAAACTTGCACAGCACAGCAGACGCAGGACAATGTCAGGGTCCGGGGTGGGTGTATTTGCTGGGCCACTGTACCCCTTGCTGCAGCCAGGAGCTTAAACAGCAGAAGGTTACTGTCTCCCTGTCCCGGAGGCTCCTGATCAGGAAGGTGTGGGCGGGGTGGCTCCTCCCGAGGCCTCTCCTCGGCCTGCAGAAGTCTTCCTGTTCACGCCGCTCCCTGTGCCTGTCTGTGTCCTGATCTCCTCTTCTTATGAGGACCCCAGTCCTACTGAGTTATGGCCCACACTGATGGCCTCATGCTAAATTATTTACCTCTGTAAAGACCATGTCCGGTACAGTCTTAGCAAAGGTACCAGGAGTTAGGACCCCAACATATGAATGGGGGCAACTCAGCCACAGCCACACAGGTGGGGGGAGGGTCCCAGAGGCCCACTGCCCCAGCCCTGACCCCCCTCCCCGGGATCTGTGCCCTGAGCCCCGCACCCCCATCTGCACGGATGTCCCTGGAGGGCCGGCTGTGCCTCCTGCCTCCCTCTCCACTCTATGTCTGGCATCTGGCTGTGGGAGGGTGGGCCGAGCCACACAGCCCCCACGCCCTGTCGTTGCAGGTACCTCTCGGTCATGCTGAGCTCTACGTCGCGGGCCGGGCAGGCTCCGGCCCCAGGCCTCCTGCAGAACCCCCGCTCCTGGTTCCTGCTCTGCGTGTTCCTGGCCTGTCAGCTCTGCATTAACTACATCCTCAAATAAGAGCCCTCTGGGGGCAGCGTGGGTGTCGCCTGCAGAACTCCCACCGGCCCAAGCCCCCCTCCCAGGCACACAGCACTTTAAGCCTGTCCGTGGAGGCAGAGGGGCCCGGCAGGCACAGCCACTGTGACAGAGGGGCCTGGGTGCAGGAGGACGGCAGGAGGGACCTGGAGGCGGCAAGGTGCTGCAGGCCTGGCCATGCCAGGCCACTTTTGGGAACACTGGCCTCTCCTGCAGGGCCCTCGCCCAGCACTGGCCTTAATGCTAAAGCCAAATGCAGCTTCCGTTGTGTGACGCGCTCTCCGACATCCCCCTCATCACTCCTAGTCCACTTCCACGTGCCACATGGGATCCATGGATTCGGGGTAGGGAGGGCCTGCAGAGGCTTTGGACAGTCACCCCCAGCAACGGTGAGTGGGAAGGTTTGAGGAGCGAGCCCGGGAGTCCCCAGGCATCCCCAGCGGCTCCTGTACCCTGATGCTCAGGCCTCCTTCCTGAGACCCTGCCACTGTCACCAGGGTCACCCTGGAGGGGCCTCAGGTGAGCTCCAAAGGCAGGCTGGGGCTGCTCTGGGGAGGACACTTTGGATTTTTATTCTGCCATTGTGCTGTTTGGGTAAGAGCCCAGCGTGGGTGGGTTCTGGAACCTCTCCGCCACCCATAGCCTGCTCATGCGGCAGTGCCCCCACCCCGGGCAGGTGGGCATGTGAGCGCTTGGGTAAGAGCCCAGCGTGGGTGGGTTCTGGAACCTCTCCGCCACCCATAGCCTGCTCATGTGGCAGTGCCCCCACCCCGGGCAGGTGGGCATGTGAGCGCGGGGGTGGCTGGGCTGGCCACGCCCACCGGTCAGGGAGGCGCAAATTGGCCACTTTGCTCAGACCATGCAGTCTTCCCGTTTTACACTTTTTAATAAACATAACTGCAATATTTCAGGCAGGCTGCGGGCAGCAGTGAGCCTGCGGTGCCTGGCCTGGGTCGCTGTGTCAGCACGTGCTCTGTCTGTGTGCCTGTGTGCGTGTGCTGCGTCCACACGTGTGTATACACACGGAGCCTTAAACTACAATGTGGTGGCGCCGTTGGAGAGGTGACTGATCGTTTCACTTTCCAGTTTTTTACCCATGTTCTCGTCTCTTCCCTCTCCTCAATTGGGGGATGAATCTATGCTCCATGCCTTGAAATAAACAGACACACGTGTTGCGTGTTCTCTTCTTGGGGGACTTCTGGAAACAAGGGCTCTTCCTGGGGAGAGACTCAGAGCCAGCATGGGATGGCCTGGGGCTGGAGGCGCCGAGGGAGGGACCCGGGAGGATGGAGGATGCAGAACTCACAGTAGCGGGAAGCCGGCCACCCTGTGGGGCAGTGGGAGGCTGGGGTCCCCGCAACCACCGATGAGCCAGCTGAGGACCTGGGAGTGCTGCTGCACCCCAGGCCGCTCCAGGGAGCCGCTGAGCTGGGTAGGTGGAGGGGGATTGGCACAGCTCAGACCCTGACCGGCTGCCCCCAAGTCCTCCCCTTGCTAACTGAGACCACCGTCCCCTGGTGCTCAGCCACCAAGGTTAAAATATGGGGGCCTACCCTGTGCTGGGAGGGGCATCTGACTGCTGACCCCACACACCACAGTGAAGGGAGGCTGCAGCCCACCATTAACATATCCCCATGAGGGATGAGAGAGACGAGGGGAACCAAGGTGGTCAGGCAGCACCGATGAGGGAGGACCCAGGAGGGACCCCGGGACACCACCTCCCTCTCTGCCTCCCGACCTCAGGGCTCAGGCTGGGGCCGAGGGAGAGGCAGACGGATGCAGCCTTCCCAACCCTCCCCCCGCAGGAGCCTCTTATGTGCCTTAGACAGTCTGGACCGCCAGGACCATTCCCCCAGGAGACAATGCCCCTGGCCTGGCTCAGGAGCTCCCCTGTGGAGGCCACGTGCCCCTGGAGCAAACAAAAGCTCAGAGTGGGTACCTCAAGGTGGCAGATTTCTTCATCTTGATACCAGGGCAGGCTGCTCTGTACACTCCCATTTCCGGTGTGGACAGGGAGTCCTGGCCACCCCTCTTGCTTCCTGCACCCTGGGCCCATGCAGAGAAAAGGTGTCTACCTGGGGGTCAGCCTCCCACCAGCTCCAGGGCTACAGGCCTGGCCCTGCCCGCCCCAGCATCATCACACACCCAGAAGGAAAATCAGAATCCCCTCCAGAACTCTCCTTCTATCCTTGATAGGCAAAGAACTATCTTAAATCAAAAAGGAAGAGAAAGCAGCCATCCCAGGAAGGAAAAAACAGAGTCAAGACCGCAGTGAGCCTTAGGTGGGTGTAATCCTAAGGAAATCGTTGAGCTAGTGCCCAAATCTGTGTCTACGAGGGTGTCCAGGCAACACTTTAAAAAACAGCTAAAACCTGGCTGTGAATCATCAGGAGCCTGCTGCTAACCCTGATTTGCAGCTTGCCAGGAGGTGCAGGCACGTGATCAGTAGGACAGCTGCGACAGTCTTTGGAGCCTTCAGTCCAGGACTCATAGAACCCGAGAATGCAATGAAGTGGTCAACGAGGTCCCGCACAAGTAGCCTGAAGTCAAAAACCCATTGGGCTGGCCCGGTGGCGCACTGCTACAGTGCGCCGCTTGGGAGCGCAGCGGCGCTCCCGCCGAGGGTTCGGATCCCACATACAGACCGGCCACTCACTGGCTGAGCGAGGTGCAGGCGCAACACCGAGGGTTGCGATCCCGTTGCCCTCCTGGTCCGGTACGGGCGCCACACTGAGGGTTGCGATCCGTTGACGGTCACGAAAAAAGACAAAAAGGAAAGAAAAAAAAAACNTACGGGCGCGACACTGAGGGTTGCGATCCGTTGACGGTCACGAAAAAAGACAAAAAGGAAAGAAAAAAAAAAA